TCATTTCCCGTTTACAACCCTAAGCCAGTGTTGGGAAATCATATATTCCTATGGTGGGGAATGTACAGCCTTTTTGTCAATCCACTGCTGGATGAGGGCATCCCCATGCCGTGCAGGTCATGGATGTGATCTGACCATACTTCACCACGCTGGTCAACGCGGGTTAGGTGAAGGAGCGGAGCGTATACTTGGAAGCATTTAAGTGCAGAACAATGTAGGGCTTTGCTGGACACCGCTGTCTGCTGTCCATCACATAGTCTTTGTTGTGTGCATACGAAGCTTTATTCTATATTCAGGCTTTGCCTGTAAATGTTATATCCCACGGAATGCAGTGAAACGCTCATGCATTGTAATTTATATGCAAATATTAACCACCCCCCTCGCTTTCAAACCTGATTGGCTCAGAAGTGACGACGTCAATTGTGTATCCCTCTATTTAAGACCAAAACATGAGGATTTCTCCACAAATATGGCTATCGCTTGATAATGCTGGTTGTAATTACTGCTGAAACACCGTACTCGAATTGTAAATGTTGTGGGTTTTACTCTCCAACACACCGGTGTGCTGAACTAGTAACGAATTGGCACGTTCTGTTTACGTGACAAACCTTACTTATTGGCTGTGCAGGTTTAACGACACATTTATATTTATGCGATATAACGCAAAACCCTCTATTATGGACTCACGCAGTAAATAGTTAAATGTATTCATCTTGATCATTTGAATACAGTACACAATGAATTGAAAACGTGTATTCAGTTACAGAGTAATGCTGCATTTCATTACCACAATTAAGTTTTCTTAAATTCAGTTCCGAAACATTTTCCCCAAAAACACAATAATTCCCGTCGGTACACCCACGTTTCCAACTGTGCGCGACAGGTGTTTTTCTCATGATGAGCACACGTGCTGTACAAGGACTTTTGTTTTGCTCAGGTTCGGCTCTTCGGCCTTTGTGGACTTTTCCAATCATTCCCTGCAATTAATTTCAAAACGGTTGTTTCGATGCCTATCCACGTGTACGTGTGCAGGACTATTGCACACGCGATGCCTTCCAATCATTTAGACTTTTCCTTTTAAATACAGTATCGAAACGGTATGGGGAAAATGCACTTTTAAAACTCGTGAAAGATTTTAACAGCTTGCTTTAATGTCCGTCCAGAGTGCTCAATGTGCAGACCTGTAAAAATGGGTAAATAAATAAATAAACACTCCAGCACACACAATGGGTGGTCTTGACCTTTTGACATTTGCAAGTGCAGTCACTTCAATGTGCACCCATTTATCATGCGGTGACAACCTTATTTCTTCTTAAACAATAAGACTTAAACAAAAATAAATGCACGCGACAGCTACTATTGAACGTACGCATACTTATATTTTCATGAGTTAGATTTTATGAAAAATTACATTGACATGACTGATATTAACGCATTCTAAACTAAAAACTATTTAAATTTTACCAGCTAAGGTCCACTGAGCTTAATAGCTCTTTTTCATAAGCGACCTGGTCACATGATAATTGTTTTTTTACCCTTTTATCTGGCAACAAAACTGACACCTTTTTTTACGAGGAGTCATGTTTGCATTGACCACAATACCTGTGGTCGGAATGCAAACAAAAAACACAACTCTGATCATGTATGCACTGTCCTTGAAATTGATTGGTCCACACCCGAGACAGCTTTTCTTAGAGCCTGTTAGCGTGACACCCAAACCATGAAACAACTTGCCACTTAAAATCAGACAATCGGAGTCGGTAGATATATTTAAGTCTGCTTTGAAAACCCATCTCTTTAAACTGGACGTCTTTTTTTAGTTTGGTCGGTTGCCCTGGTTTAGTTTTTATTTCCTGATTTTCATCTATTGCGCATGAGGATGGAATGTGCGTTATAAATTTGAATGATTATTAAATGATACCTCAACGAAGTGGCTTGTCACATGGAAATTTATAGCAGCCAAATAATCTAAATGCATATTTCTATTTAAAATCTCATTATTGCTTTCTCTCTGGTTTGATTTTGTGATTTGAATTCGTCAATCATGAACAATGAATTTGCCACTTGTTAAATGTTCATGTATTTGTTTGTATATAATTGTGACAAAAGTGTCACTAAAATATACTTCCTTCATGATAGCCTTGCTGCAAGATTATTTTTGCCATACTTGTAAGAAATAAAATTCCCAAAAACCCCAGAAAGTAGCTGAATTTAAATATTTCCTCTAATCCAGATCAAAAGGTATGCAACATCTGCACAACATTCCAATATTATTTCCTACCAGGTCATATTCCTATTTAAAAATGTATGCAAGCCTACCGTAAAATTCCCAGCATACCTCTGGATTATATTACTATTGTTCAAACAAAGAAATCTAATGATTAATTTTATATTGTGTCATTAATGCAAATTGCATCTTACATTCACTGAGGAACCACAGACAAGCTGGAAGACTGCCAGGCAGTAGGCGGGTGCAAACAATTGCTCTATAGTACTCTACACGTGAAGATGTTTTGAGCCAATTAGTGAGTCTTTATACACGTAGGAAGAAACCGGAGCACCTGGAAGGAACCGACGCATGCGAGGGGGCAACACTCTATCCCATACAGAAGAGACAGATGATATCAGTCCACACTTTGTTCTGCATTCTGCTCATAAGCTGGGGTATGGTACCCTCGCTACCATGAGTCCTTGATTACAGGCCAAAAGCATAGCCACCACCGCCCAACTTTTTTTCTGTTGAATATTTTAAGCTCCAGCACTCTGGCCCAGATAATGAGACAATTATCTGGCTCGCACAGTATCCCGTCACTAACATTCAAAATATAAATGCCATGTCACATCGTTCATATATGGAATATACAGTGGTCTCTTCATCTCCAATCTAGAAATTGAATCAAATCGCGTTACCTTCCATCTGTGGCAAGTTTCTCCGTCACATTTAAATTCGAAAAACTAAAGTTTAAAACATTTAAATTAGACCGTGGCAGGAACACATTATCGTCACAATAAAGAAGAGGCGGTTGTGATTCATTGGACATGTGTGATGGAGGAGGGCAAGTAATCCAGATAGGAATTAGAGGCACCCAGGGGCTGGTGTGCCAAACAAAATAGCTAAAGGCGGTGGTGAGACTGTGATAATAGAATTGGGAGGTCAGGTGTTGACTGCAGACGTGAAGGTAACATATAATGACTTCGGTGACATATATATCTTTATTAGATTCCCTCTTGCATGAATTAGTAAATGCAAAAACAATATTTCTGGTATAATCCGATTTTAGGAGTTGAAGTAATCCATTGAAAATGTTCATAGAATTTCATAGCAGCCGTATATTTCCAACGTAGAAGAGTATGCAAAAATACCTGCTGTTAAAAATCTCCACGTGATAAGCCACTTTGTTGAGCTATCATTTGTGGCCAGGCCGCTTCTGAAAAACAACTTCATAGCTCAGTGGGCCTTACCTGGTAAAATAAAAAAAACATTTATAGTTTAAATAGTTTTCAGTTTATAAATAGGCACACTACAGTTAGTTCATCAGTAGGTCACGTATAAAAATGATAAGGTGTGTGTACTCCTACCTCTTCCAATAGCGTGAACGTGTAGGCTGAATATCCTCCACCGTGGCTCCCGACAGCTCCTTTTAGTTGAGGCCCTTCTGCCAGCAGTTGCTTGAGCAAGAAATTGCAGGGCTGCACCTTCACCATATATTGCATCACAGTTCACCAGAGGGAAGACGATGCACAAGCGGAGTTAAAACCACTCAAGGCTCAGTGACATTGACCTCAATGACCTCCTGATCTTGATCTTCTATCAATAGTGGTCCAAATGCTTGACCATACCGCAGGACGAAACACTTCCCATCCTGCTAATGTCCTCGCACTACGGCTCAGTAACTTTCATCGTCTCCACAAGTTTGCTCAATTCAAGAGAAGAGCTGACTCATTAATTTCCCCTTCAGTGATGCCACTCTATTGTTGCTGACCACTCAGCAACCGTCCACTGGACATATGTGAAAAAGAGCTTCTTAGATCATCAGATTTCCCGAAGATAAATACATATTTAGATGAAGATTTTGAATGGTGATTTAAAAATAAAAACCCACACAATTCTACAAATATTTACAAGTGGGAGTTTGCACTCTCTCTCCATCTGTGGCCCAAATTGTCTGAAACTCCCTTCCCCCCACCCGCCTGCCCGTGCTATCCACTCCCTTGCCCCTGCCACTTTAAAATTTAGATTGAAAACTTATTTAGAACTGCTTTTTGTGTGTAGTTTGTTGTCCTTCCCCCGCACCTCCGATTAGCACGGTTGGCTACGTACGGTACGAAAGAAGTTCAACATGCATACTTTATGATGATGTGCAACAAAAAGCACGTGCAATTTTTACAATGATATTTCTCTGAGCCAGCACAACTTGGTTCATGCCAGAAAAAAAATCAAAGCAGCTTTGTGCTTAATGTGAGTTGGCAATACAGCGTGTAGAAATGTACATTATGCAGTACACCAGAACGTTGCATAGCCATCGTGTTATCGACCCTGAATAATTAACCCTTTCCCATTCCAACTCCATTCCGATGATATACCTGTACGTCATCATCAACGGAACCGGAATGAAAACTAAAAAAACGAACTTTATTGGTACCGGGGCTCTCACGAGGCCTTGCAGGAGGGCGTGTGGTACGGTTTGGCGCCGCCTATCATAGAGTGCGGTCGTGCAGCTACGGTTCTCTGCGGTGAGTACAATGTTTTCATAAAACATTGTACTCACCGCCTCTCGAAATAAAATCGACGCTGGATCGCTTGCGCATTCCGACATTCAGCGGTGAGCGGGATCGACCCCCCCCACCCTGCAAACTTGCAGATGTCTGGAAAGCAAGAAAAGTGGTTAACGGCCCACAATCGGCGTCAGAAAAAACATTTCGCGTGACCAAAAAAACCTTGTGCCGCCCGAAGTCCGGCTCGCTAACCCCACGTGAATTCCCCCTTGCCGCGGGCCCAGGCGCGACGGGCCAGACGGCGGTCCCAGGCTCCGACGCGTGCGCCTCTGAGCCGTGCCTGCACGGCGGCACGTGCATGCCCGGCGATGACGGCGGCTTCTCGTGCCGGTGCGCGCCGGGCTACGCCGGAGACATCTGCGAGGCGAGCGAGGGCGGGTGCGCCAGCAGCCCCTGCCTCAACGACGCGGTGTGCGTCGACGAGCCGAGCGGCTACAAGTGCTACTGCGTGCCGGGCTTCCAGGGCAGGCACTGCGAGATCGACATCAACGAGTGCGCGTCGGAGCCGTGCCTCCACGGGGGCACGTGCACCAACGGACGCGACCGCTACTCGTGCGCCTGCCCCAACGGATTCACAGGTTCTGTGCGGCGGGGGGCGGCTTCCGCGCAAACTTGTCGCGTTGCATGCAATCTCGATTTGTTGCATTTGACACGGCTATTTTTGTCTTGGTTTTTTTATGTTGTAGTAGTGCAAATGAGCTGATGTGTCACCTTGGTCCGCCCCTTTTGCAAACGGGACAATATCACGTGTCGTGATGGGCCTATATTTAATCTCCTGGTGAAATAAGGAATACTACTACTGCTGCTATGTAATGCCTTTAGGTCATGGGGATTGTTTGACCATATTTAACTCTGCTCTGCTGCCCAAAATGTGGTTGGCGCTCGCTCATCAAAGCACTCTCCTGGCTCAAACCGGCTTAGCTGTTTCAGGTCGTTTGGTTACCGTCTATTGCGGTGGTTCTTCACCTGGAGTGCACGCTGCACCCCCTGGGGGTGCGAGATGCCCTTCTTGGGGGTGCGAGACATGGCAAGATTTTTTTTAGAAGGAAAATCATCAAAACACAAATTAAGCACAGGCATGTAAGTACAACTACTTTGTTTCGTCAAAACTACGTATTCATTTACATTATGAAAAAATATATGACAATTGAGAACCACAGGGGTGCAAGGCTGCAGTAAAGGTTAAGAACCACTGGTCTATTATCATCACCATTGCGGATTGAAAGGCCCATGCTATTATCATTGTCATCATCATCCCAATCGCCATCATTCTCAACACTACCACCGATGTCAATTACGAACACTCTCCCCCCCCCGCACGAGTGCCTCTATTAAAACCCGTGCATCTCCCCCCCTCTCCCCCACACCAGGCGAGATGTGCCAGCACGACACGAACGAGTGTGCGTCCCAACCGTGCCACAACGGGGCCACGTGCGTCGATCTGGACGGCAAGTTCGAGTGCGTGTGTCCGCGCGGCTACACGGGAGCCGTGTGCGAGACGGAGGTGGATGAATGTGAGAGCGGGCCATGCCAGAACGGTGGCATCTGCCTCGACCTCGTTGACAGGTGAGAGGCTCATGCAAGCAGCAGCCCAGTCACGGCTGTGGTGAGATGTTAACTACCTCGCCAGGTATACAGGAGGTCGTGGGCTCGATCCCCGACCTTGACGCCTGTATACTCGGAGTCTGCATGTTCTCCCCATGGTCGCGTGTATTTTTCTCCGGGTCCTCTGTTTTTTTCTCTCTACATTTAGAAGCATGCGTTTATATTTGGCTGCGATAAATTTCCCCAAGAACAGCCACTTCGTTGGGCTATCATTTGTGGCCAGGTCACTTCTGAATAAGAGCTATGTAACTCAGTGGGCCTTACCTGGTAGAATAAAAAGTAGTTTAGTTTTAAAGTGCCACGGGCTATAAGTTGTCAATAACTCATTTATAGGTAAAAATCACAATTCACTCAAATGTATCAAAGCGTTTAAACACAAATAACTGTGGTAAGAGTGCCATGGATAAGTGAGGTTCTACTGAACTATGCTTATACAACTATAATGATATCTTATATAAACTGCACACAACGTATTCTTGGTTATTTCGGTAAAGTCACGTAGAAGGGAAAAAATAAAATAACAAAAATATAAAACAATACAATTATCAGGAAGTTTCGACTGCAACACAAGCAATCATCATCATATATCCTGAGCCTACCGTTTGTACGCTGCTGTCTATTTGAAGTTTACTTCATTGGCCAAATTGGGATTCAGGTCACCCTGTTTGCAGAGAGAAAAAACACGGGCTCAAAAATGTGATGATTTTGTCCAATATGTTGTTGGTGTCTCACAGCCATATCTAGAATACTGGGGTGTCCAGACACCTGTGACACCAACAGTGGATGTGCCCATGCATAGCGGGCATCGCCACACTGAGAGCTTCACTTTGAATTTGGGTTTAAGCCGATTTAATTAGTTCTCAAGCGGAGTGAGATGGTGTTTTTAGTCCCTTGATCAGTAAGGACTGCATTCTACAAACATTATTCCTGGTGTCCAAAAGTGCAGTTTGCTGTACTTGACCTGACTTAATAACCTTGATTATTTTTCGAAATAGGAACATTCAGCATGTCGGGGTCCATAATTGTCTAACATTGCCATTACTAAAACATAAAAAGAGGTACAGTATTGAAATGAAAAGAGCAATCTTGTCAATGTGGTCGTCTTGCTTCCAGTTACACGTGCTACTGTTTGGGAACCGGATACGAGGGGAAGGACTGTGAGCTGGAGATTTTGGAATGTGCCTCCAACCCGTGCCGCCACAACTCCACATGCATCGAGGGCATTCTCAATTTCACCTGCATCTGCTGGCCAGGTGGGTGCCACGGCGCCGAGGCTGCATCCTGTCTGCGCAAGCGTGCGCTGTTCCGCTAGCGACGGTGCCAGGCGGTAGTCTGTGGCATTTTGAACGCGTGAAGGGTTTCGTGGGTAATGTTGGGGATGTTTGTTTGAGTTTGTTGTCCTTCCCCTGCACCTCCGATTATCACGGCTGGCTATGTACGGTGCAAAAGAAGCTCAACGTACATATATACACATGCACACATTCATAATTTATTTTTAGGTCAAATCGCCTATGTATGTTTAACGCGTAGGCTTTCGCGACCAATATTATTCACAAAAAGTTTTTTTTGGGTTAGATCGCGTAAATATAAATGTGCCGTTAAACCCGCCACCACCTGACAGCTAATTGATAAAGTTGTCACGTGATGAACAAACGTGCCAAAAATATTGCTACTTTGGCAGCAGCACCTCCACCGGTCGCTGTCGCAGAGCAATCCACAACATTTCAAAGCCGGGTGCGGGCGTTTCGCTCATAGGTGCAACCAGTGGCACACGAGGCAGTTGCCAGAAATCTGAACATGTCTTCCAGTCCCGGACCTTATATAGGTGGTGTGACGTCGTACGGATGGTTACATTTCATGATTAGGAGTGTGAAGGCAATGCTCAGCGGGAAATGAACCAATGCCGGGCATTAACCAGACAAACGTCGCCCTCATGCCACTGACGCACGTGTGCCCGTCCGACCGAAAACGTGTTAATTAAAACCACTGCCCATTTGTCGTACATCACCTTCACACAGCAGCCCGTTTTTGTCAATCCACTGCTTGGTGAGGGCCTCTGTGCACACCAGTGGAACCATCGTGGTTATTCGACGAGCGGTGGACCATAGTTCACCACGCTCCGACGTTATGCATTCGCGTTATTTTTCGCATTCTTGTTTATTCAATGCTTCGCCCGAGGCTGACAAATGGGAGTAGGCGTTCGTTGCCTCCTCAACCTCGAGTTATGAGCCACTGCTGATCACTCGAGGTCGTGCACAAAATATTAAGATATTTTTAGCAAGCGTTCGAACATAATTGTGATGGTGATGATGCTTGTTCTGTAATTTCATTTTGCTGCCGTAGGTTTAGTCGTAACGCTTGCAAGTCAAGTCAACATGGCTGCTCGCTCGGACGGGCTTTGTGCAACTCCACATTACTATGGCAGGGACCAGTGTTTGCATTGAGCAACAAAATGTGGCTTTCCTCAAAGTGGCACTTATTTTGTTGACACGAGACGGTGAATATGACCAATTTATATTTACATTCCTTGGTCAATCCACTGCTGGATGAAGGCCATGGGGATCGTTTGACCATACTTCTCCACGCTGGTCATTTGCCGGGCTGGTAAGGGTGTTGCCCAGGGCCAAATTAGATATCACTCACCTCTGATGTTAGCCCGTGCCAAGGAATCAACCAGTTAACATTAAGCACGAGCTTTCTGCAAACCCAGGATGACCATCACTCCGAGGGGAAAACAAGATTGATAAACTCGGGCATAGAATTTTTGTGATTTTATTTTCGGTTTTGTTTCGTGAAATTATTAGTTACATTGTGTGCCGCAGTGGCGAGATGTTAAATCCCTCACCTGGTATACAGGAGATCGTGGGTTCGATTCCAACCCCGACACCGGTATACATGGAGTTTGCGTGTTCTCCACGAAGTTGTGTGGATATTTCTCCAGGTCCTTCGGTTTTCCCCCGCACATTTAGAATCAACACGCGTTTAGAGTATTTGGCTGCTTTCCATTTCCACGTGATAAGCCACTTCGTTTAATTATTATGTGTGGCCAGGTTGCTTCTGAAAACGAGCTATATAACTCAGCCGGCCTTACCTGGTAAAATAAAACAATTTGTTGAGTATCGTTTTTTTTTTAAATCCTTTATATTAAGTTCGCTTGCTTGCTTGCGTGCTTGCTTGCGTGCTTGCTTGCTTGCGTGCTTGCTTGCTTGCGTGCTTGCTTGCTTGCTTACGACCGTGCAGACTCGTTGTGAGAGACAATTAATGTTCGTGAAAAAAAAATTCCCAAAATTTTACACTTTTTAGGCAAAAATTTTTTATTTTACATATATTCAAATAGAACTCATTCATGGCTTTGGCTGAACGTCACAGTGTAAGAGCCCAGAACGTAACCCCTCCACAGGCCGTGGCGGAGTAGCGCAGTTGGTAGCGCCCTCGCTTCCCATGCTAAAGGTCGCGGGATCGATCCCCACGTCCTCCACAGGCGAATATATCTTTAAATCCTTTATATTAAGTTCGCTTGCTTGCTTAGGACCGTGCAAATCTTTCGCTCGTTTTTAACCCACTTCCCGTGATCCAATCGAGCTGACATTTTCCACACAGACTCGTTGTGTGTGACAATTAAGTTCGTGAAAAACATTCCAAAATTTTACACTGTTTAGGGAAAACAAATTAAATATTTAATTACCAATTGCTTAATGGTGGCAGACAATCATCTGACCCATAGGTGGCAGCCATCTCAAGCCAAAGGACGAGAGGACTCTAGCCGCCACGCATATAAAGGATTTATAGTGAAAAACTTTGTTTTTACGGGTTTACTTGTATTCCCCCTCCCTCATTTCCCCCTCCCCTGAAAATCTGCTGCTCCTGATCGTTGCTTCTATGGCGGTAGGAGGGCAGTGAGCCCGAAGTGCTTCCAATAGGTCCCCTAATTGAGGGCGTACAACTCCGAACTGTTACGCGATCGTGAGCTGTGTTTTCCTCTCGGAAATATATATTAAAAAAACACATTTAGCATGAGCACGTAGCAAATAACACAAGTTATGTAACATCACTAAATGGGAGATGCGGGTGCTTTCTTTCTGCAGAAAACGTCAGGTTGACTCTCAGTTATTATTAAATTTCTGCTATGCACAGCACGAGGAAGTGGCATGCTGCGACTCATCGTGGCGAGCAAGAACCCATATATTTTTCTTGGCACATGCAAACTGATTTTTCATTAATTTCATTAGCTTTCACATGTTGGACAATGTTATGCTTCCGTGGTTTTAATATCATAACCGAGTCTCAGAGCCACGTTCCAAGATGCAAGGAAATAAATCAAACTAATTAACCACAATTATGTTCCTGATTTTACACGTGTCCATGTGTGTAATATCTCTGGGTATTCGTACTTGCATTAAAAAAAATGCTTTTTTTTCTCTTCTACATTGATGATGAATTGCTATGATTCAGGTTCGCACTTTGATTCGAGATTCAATTCTTGAATATACAGAAAAAAAACACGTCAATGTTAGTGTCCACGAGTAGCTGCACAGATCACGTGAACCCTTTTACACGCGACAAGATGAGAACTGAAGAACATTGATTCTTACGCAGGCGAATCAATCCTGTATTCGTTTAACACGTAGTAGACTTTCGCGACCAATATCATCCATAATCGGGGTTTTTGGGTTAGATCACATAAATATAAAATGTTAATGTTATGGGTTTACTCCCCAACACACCGGTGTGCTGTACTAATAAAGAATTGCCATGTTTTGTTTACATGACAAACCTTACTAATTGGCCGTGCCGGGTGGTGGTGGGTTAACGACACATTTATATTTACGCGATCTACCCCAAAATACTTTATTATGAAATTATGATATTCGTCACGAAAGCCTACGGCGTTAAATTGGCTTTGGCATTGATGACATCGTGATCTTGATCGTTCCAGACAGACGGACGTAATGATAATCGGACATACGCAGTGCTAGTGCATAAACCTTATCAACCTCACTTGTACGGGCCTTAAAACCCCTACGACTCGTAATAAACACCAATCAAACCCCCCCAGGCTTTGCGGGCGACACGTGCGAGGAGGACGTGAACGAGTGTGGAGATGAGCCCTGCATGAACGGAGGGCAGTGCATCGAACTGTCCAAGCCAGACTTCTACGGGAAACTCTCCGAGCTTCCTGGGACTTTCCACTACTCCAATGCCTCCGGGTTCACCTGCCGCTGTCTGCCAGGCACCACAGGTGAGGGCCCAGACGACAAACCTCGCTCGCCATCGGTCAACCGCCGTAATCGATATTTCCGACGCGGTTACCGTGCCGGCGTTGGATTGATCTTCGTCGGATTTGGCCGTCGGCTTTCACGCATTGGACGGCTGCCGCAGGATCCATGGGCAACTTCCAAAAGGCGCAGGCCCGCGTACGCGTTTTGTACGTGACGGTTCGATCCCTGGAACAATTAGCTGTCTCGCTCAGGACCACCATACAGTGCATACTTAACAAGCACAGAAGAATAATAGTTTACGGTCCTTAGTCAATCTACTTTTGGATGGACACCTACGAGCTATCTGCCCATGGATCTTGATGAAGAAGTGATGATGATGATGATGATAATTAATTCAATTCCCTGCTTAAACGAGCGTGCCCGCTGCATGTCCGGCAGGAGAGAACTGTTCGGTGAACTTGGACGAATGTGAGTCTCAGCCGTGCCTGAATGGGGGCTCCTGCATCGACAACATCGGCTCCTTCTCCTGCGAGTGCGCCCCGGGGTTCACAGGTTTGTACGCACGCTCCGCGCAAGCCGGATTCCACCCGGGGTTTGATTTCAGCCTGGTCTGTCTGGGTCAGCGAGCAAGAAAATACTGAACTAAACTAAAAACTAAACTTTATTTTTTTTACCAGGCAAGGCCTGCTGAGTTATATAGCTCGTTTTCAGAAGCAACCTGGCCACACATAATAGTTCAACAAAGTGGCTTATCATGTGGAAATGTTTAGCAGCCAAATACTCTAAACGTGTGATGTTAATTCTAAATGTGTAGGGGGGGGGGGGGGACCGGAGGACCCTAAGAAAAATACACATGACCACAGGGAGAACATGCAAACTCCAAATATACAGGTGTCAGGATTGGGATCGAACCCATGACCTCCTGTGTACCAGGCGAGGTCGTTAACATCTGCCACTGGAACACAATGTCCACAACACCTCTTGTGGTGGCTGTAGCTATGAGTTACTTGCCTCCTTCAGTCTCCCAGTGACCCAGGACATATCCAGTGACAAATTAACAAAAACCCAACACATTTGTCGATAGCGCTGCCCTAAATATGGGAATACCTCCTATAATCAACCAGGAATATCTGTCCTTAACGCTCGTGACATCACTCCACATCGACCAGCCCCCCTCATTAATATTCATGTGCAGGTGACATCCTCCAAATGGACACCCCCCCACCCCTCCTCATTCATAATCATGAGCGGGTGACGTCACTCAACATGGAGTGCCCCCCCCCCCCACTAATAATCATGAGCAAGTGACGTCACTCCACATCGAACAGCCCCCCTCAATAATAATCATCAGCAGGTGACGTCCTCCAAATAACCCCCCCATTATTACTACCTAATATACTGAGCCAAGAATGTCTGTGTGCAACGTTCGTGACGTCACTCCATGTCGACCAGCCCCCCTCATTAATAATCATGAACAGGTTACGTCCTCCACATGGACCCCCCCCCCTCATTAATAATCATGAGCATGTGACGTCACTCCACATGGAGCACCCTCCCCACTCATTAATAATAATGAGCAGGTGACGTAACTCTACATCGAACAGCCCCTGTCATTAATAATCATTAACTGGTGACGTCTTCCAAATGGACACCCCCCCCCCCCCACCATTCATAATAATTAGCGGGTGATGTCACTCCACATGGGGGGCCAAGGCGTCTGCTCCCCCCCCTCCTCGGCGTCAACTCACAACCCTCACTACAAAGGCAGAACCCTCACGTCACGCGATCTCCGTAACGCTGTTGAGACATCTGAATAAAAAGGACGTCATGATGAACAAGGGATTATAACCTTGAAATGAAATAGGTCTGTGTCACCGCGCCCTTACAAAATGCACGCGCATTAATGCAATGAATATCATGTCACGGTCTGCTTTTCGCTTGCAAGTTTCAGATTTACTGCAATACACCCGTCCTTGGACGGGCAAAAGGCTAGTTTATCTATAATTAGTGACATTCTACACAATGGCCGTCGTTTATAGCAGGGAAGAAGGGCCATTTCCACAACCCCAATAAGCATGGTTGGCTATGTGCAGTGCAAAAAAATGTCAACATATATACATGTACATACATTGCTTGAAGCGTCCTCTCTTCCATATTTGTGCCTCTTTAGGTCAGTGTCATTGACATTTGATGTTATCTGGGCTCATGCACCACTGCCAATGCCGTGTGACAATTTGTTTTGTTGAGGTGACAAATTAAGCCCCGTGTGTGCACCCATGTGCAGCAGAGGGTTGTTTTTTAATTCTCTAGTAAAAGCTTGACCTCATTGCACCCTTGAGCATGCGAGGGTTTAACCACTCATGAACTCATGGACTCAAACTGATGCGCGGAACACCACCCATGCATACAGTTTTTCCGCGTAGAAACCTTACATAACCGATTTAGCGATAGGCAAACGTAGCGCGTGGTCTCCTACTGCCCAGGCTGGTGCTAATTATACCTTGCAAAATTACCGTGCCTTAGATTCTGGCCCTTGCATGGTTAAGGGTCATTGCTAAATCTACCCAGCTCGTGTTCTTGTTTTGATTTAGTTTCATTGCTCGGCGTCGAAATGTGCCCTCTATGTTTACGTGTTTACATGCTTGCTCTGTACTCTTTATGCTCTACCCAGGGCACCTCGTGTTTGCTGAAGTTATTTAGATGCTCGGGAGAAATTCACTGCCATAATTGGTTCCCTTTGGGTTAGGTCGTGTAGAAAAACAGTGTCGTAAAAGCCTCCTCCTCCCGACGCAGCCGATTCATAGAAGTGTCACGTGATTTAAATATTGTGAGATTCCTCTCCGACAACACCAGTGGACGTGCTGAAGCAGTAATATATTGGGCACATTTTATTCACGTAACACTTTTATTAGTTGGCTGCGTCAAGTGGAGGTAGGTTTACAACACACACGTTTTACGTGACCTCACCCAAAATTCAACCAATTAAGATGTTTAATATCGCTCGTGAAAGCCTAATTAGAACACTAAATTAACCATTATCATTCGATGCCCTAGTGATATAGGGCGTGAGCCCGTGTGTGAGTTAAACTCATGACATCCTCAATCCAGGTCTGCCAGTGACACTCGCAGTAAACTCTGCGTGACCTGCCCTTAAAACAAAATAACGCGCACTTACTACAAGTGGGCTCCGAATACAAAAGCGATGGGCCACAAAAGCCAGACAGCCCCGACTGCCGCCTGGCACAGCGCAGGAGGTCTTCTGGCCCTTAACTGTTGCTGAAAAAGCGAAACAAAGAGACCTCCCAGATTTAAAGCGTCCCAGTGACGTCACACTCGAGGCCTCGTGCGCGCAGCGACGTCACGGGCTTGCCCAATGGGACGCGCCGAACCTATTGGGAGAGTTATCAATCTTGATTTGTTTTATTTTATTTCTACCTACGTGACTTTAACGAAAGAACCAAAGAGTATGAGTAGAGTTGGCTCCGTCTGGAGTTTTACACTCCGCGCAGCGATCTGCCTGCGTAACTCAGCGGTCGGTGACTGACCCGATGTTCGCATTGCTGCTGCAGCTGCTGTTGTTGCAGCCATCGGACCGTTTCACCGATAAATAACAAATAGGCCGAACGCCATTTGTGCCATTGCAAGGCTGTTGGGTGACTGGACAATGCCATTAAGCACAGATGCAGCTATGATAAACACGGTACGTCTGCGGTGGCATATGCAACTTTCGGGAGCTATTTCAATTTTTTGCCCATTTTTAAAGGAGTCTGCTGTACATTTGGTTATACAAGTAGGAATATTAAAAAAAAAAAATTTTAAGTGAGAGGGCAGCATGGTTCAGTTCTGAGTTTAATGTGCTATAGACCCGGAGGCCTGAGTTCTACCCCGAGCCGCAGCTAACATTAGTGCCAAGTGATGTCTGAACTGGTGACATATATAACGAAGTATGATTGTTGGCCATAATCTTGATTTGAAGCTTTCGTGACTGCAGGAATCCATACTCTTTGGTTCTTTCGGTAAAGTCACGTAGGTATAAAATAAAATAAATATTGTATTTGTTGGACATACTTCACCAAGCTGGTTGATGCGGGTTGAAGAAACCGCAGATTAGAACCCGGTTCCTATACATCTGAACCATTGATGTCAGCCTTGGCAGGGAACTCAACTCAGTTTGGCAAGTTGACAGCGCAGTGTGCTGACCATTGCACTCCACAACAAGCTGGTGTGTCATACAACATCAACACTCCACTGCTAGATGAAGGCCGTCACCGTCTCACGATTCTGCGATGTAACAATACAACGTAAGATAACGCAAGACTTCGTAATAGAGAGTTTTTTTGGGGGTTAGATCGCGTAAATATATAAATGTCGTTAAAACCCGCCACCACAGCCAATTAGTAAGGGTTGTCACGTAAAGAACGTGGCCAATTCGTCACTAGTACAGCACTAGTGTGTAGTGTATAGTGTAGCGTATAGTGTAGTATACTAGTACAGCACTAGTGTGTAGTGTATAGTGTAGTGTGTAGTGTAGTGTATAGTGTAGTGTATAGTGTACTATACTAGTACAGCACACCGGTGTGTTGGAGAGCCAAGCCACAACATTTACAATCTGAGCACGACGTTTCGCCAGTAATTACAACCAGCTTCATCAGACGCCAGCCAGCCTAATTAACAAAAACAAAGATCCCCCGTCTAGCCTTAGCATACTTTTTGGTCAAGTGCTGTGTATAGCCAGCACTAACGAAGGCCGGCATGGCACACGAGGGCGGTGGGTGGCCAACGCCGCACGCGGTCGCCTTTGTCTCCCCCAGTGGCGATGTTCACGTCGCATCAAGGAACCAATTTGAGGCTGAGTCGACCTAGGGGAGTCCCATGACCGGTTCAGATAATCATCGGCGTCGTCGGTGGCCACGAGCGGGATTACGAACCCGCGACGCGAACCGCTCCAGACTACAGCATTCAAACATTGAGGGGGTGTGGGACCCGGTGGTCTCTCTCCTCCCATCATCACAACAACAACAATCCCCATTCACTCGCGGCCCCGTCGCAAGGAGGCTGCGCTCAGCACGACCAGCGAGTGAGAGGAGCCCCGCCCCCTCTAAGACCCGCCCCCCCACGCCCCGCCCCCTCTAAGCCCCGCCCCCTCCAGTGCCCCCACGCCACAAGCCCCGCCCCCTTCACGCCCCGCCCCCTCTAAGCCCCGCCCCCTCCAGTGCCCCCACGCCACAAGCCCCGCCCCCTTCACGCCCCGCCCCCTCTAAGCCCCGCCCCCTCCAGCGCCCCCCCCCCACGCGCCCCCCCCCCCCACGCGCCGCCGTCTCAATAGCCTCGCGAACGCGCGGGCGGCGAGTATCCGTCGCCATGGAGACCGCTGGGGGCCCAGCGCTATCCTATTAGCGCGCGCGTGTGTAAGTGTGTGTGTGCGTGTGTGTCTGTGTGTCAGGGTGTGTCTGTGTGTGTGTCTGTGTGTGTGTCTGTGTGTGTGTCTGTGTGTGTGTCTGTGTGTGTCTGTGTGTCAGGGTGTGTCTGTGTGTCAGGGTGTGTCTGTGTGT